AAAAAAAAAAAAAAAAAGAGAGAGAGACAAATATTGTAATTGTTACTTTCATTTCAGTTGTTCCTGACATTCTTCTCCAATTAACAATTTTGAATACCAAGTATATATAATTGGAAAACTATAGCTGAAAGACCATCAAATATTAATGACAAAAAACTGAAAGGATTACCTAAATATGATCCCAAATAATTACGGAAATGTGGAAGGATTTCCTACCATAGAAAAGCCAGTAATAAATTCTAACAAATAAAATTTTTACCCAACTTTTTCCTTATCTGGTTGTGTACGAGGGGGAAGGGGGGCTCAGCAAAGAATCTTGTTGGGAAAAATCAGAACAAAATATGAAAAGATAGAACTTTCCACACAGATAGCTTGAAGATCTCAGTACTTACATGTTGATTTTATCTTTGGAAATCAAAGCTTGCAAATGCAATGTATCAAGTAAAAGAGAAAGCCATCAAAGGAAGAAAATAAATGCACCGAACAAAAGAGAAAGCCAAGTCGATTTGCATCACTGACGTGTCAACCTTTCGTACTCACCTCATTTATAATAAAGTAACGATATCTGGTTATTACAACAGAAAATATGTGAGTGATAATCAAGCAATCCGCGCACATCAGCTCCACAATAATCGGTGTCTAAATCCCATGACAAACTATTCATATGCGGAATAAGAATTCAAACCTCTCCATACTCCAGACGCGAAAAGATAAGAAACTAGAAGAATGGCCTCTTTTAATTCATTTCTTGGTGAACTAAAAGATGAAGGGATAAGAAAAAGTATTTCAACAACTTAATCCACCCCATAAATTTCATTCAATCCAACAAACACTTCTCAACCCCATTACAAGAAACCAAACAACCGGCGTGAAATCAAACACATTGTGAGCTACCAACTAAAAGAAAACAAGAACACGAGCGAAACCATTAGGTGACAACCATAAACCCTTCATCATCAATAAAAGAAGGCCAACCTCTCAACTTACGTATCCCTCTCGCTGGCATTTACGGAAAGTGGGGAAACAAACAAGAACAAGATAGCATCCCAATTCAGTTCATCGAAAGAACATAACACAAAATCAACAATCGGATAACAAAAACAAGCGCACATTACTGATTGGGAAAATCTCACTATTCCCTCTCAAGAAATCAACACCCGAAATTCAGTTCAAACACTAGCTTCAACAACTCCATTGCCGATTTAAATTCGAAAATAACCAATCGAAAAACCAACACTTCACAACCACCCAATCCCGAAGATTCAACAAAGTCATCAAACAGAACATCGTTCAAAAATTTCTCTCCAAAAAACATGAACACGAAAATAATCAAACGCAAAAGGCATATGTGCATCGACATTCAGCTGAAAATTAAAGACGAAATACAAAAATTTACCAGAAGATCTGAGTGAATCTCAGAATGGCTCGTCGAGGCATGACATCTGAATCTGAGTGAGCAGCATTTTAACTCTGCGTTTTACGTCTTTCAAAAGTACAAAAAAAAAATTTAGAAGAGTTGATAATTTGCTTAATGGGCGGTATATATATAATATATATATAAATAATAATTAAGGCCAACGACTTTTAGACGCGCTTCACGCTATTCACGATTCTAACAATTTCCACATTTTGTCTCTTTTTGCTTTTTCAATTTGTTGAAATCATTTATCATTATTATGGTGATTTCTTCATAATGTTATTGTTCACCCCAAATTATATGATCACAATTTGATTTGTGTAATGGGCTCCATATTTTCACAATGCTTCAAGAATAAAGTTATTTTTGTCAAAATAATTGTTGGCAAAGAATGAAAAAAAATATATGTATATTCAATAATTGCCCACTCCTCGCGCTTTCCGCAGAGATTGCAGGCTGAACAAGTCCATTTCGGTCCAATTAGGTGGGGCCGCGTCAAAGTATATCGTAAGTATAAATGTTGACCATATTTAAAAACAAAGCGAAACGAAGTGAAGTCAAAAGTATTTAGACAAAGCACCATACCAGTAGGAAACCACCTTAGAATGCCAAACCCAAGAAAGATCTCAGGAGTAGGGGCGTGGATCTTCTTTTTATAATTGTTATGTATATTTAACAGTGTTAGCCTAAACGCTAAACGGTAAACAGTCGGCGAGGGCACGT